CAGGTATTGATGGTAAAAGTTCAATTGTGATATTTACAAACGATACTAAATCAGAAATGGTGCAGTATCTCACACTAGGCAACGAACCACTACCAATTAAAAAGGAAGTCACTTATGTTGGAAACATTATAAATCAGAATCTTAACACTAAGAGCACAATAGAAAAAGCATGTAACTCTTGTAAAAAGATTTTCAATTCTTTATGCGGTATCGGAATGCGAAATGAAGGAATTAATCCTATCGTTAGTTGTAATATATGGAAACGTTTCATCTTGACCAGCGCGCTCTTTGGTTGCGAACTTTGGACTAATATAAAAAACCAAGAATTTCTACAGCTCGAAATCGCACAACGGTATTTTGCAAAACGCGTTCAAGGTTTTCCAGTGAGAACTACCAGTGATGCCGTCATAGCTACTCTTGGACTATGGTCAATGAGAAGCTATGTAGAAAAAAATAAACTGTCCTTTCTTGGTAGACTTTGCGCGTCCCAACCAGATTCTATACAGTTTAAAGTGTTTTTAAGACGCATCAGTAGCTACATTGTACGGCATGGCGCACATCTTACGAGCACAGGTTTTATCTCGGACGTCTTTGATATTTGTAAGAAATACCCTGCTTTACAAGAAGTAGTCTCAGAATTTATACGTACTGGATCATTCCCTGCCAAACAGAAGTGGAAAAGTTACATCGTCGCACAAATTCAAAATAGAGAGGAGTCTCTATGGAGAGAGTCTGTCATGAATAATCCTAAGACATTTCGTTATAAAAACATCCAACACGAATATAAAACAGTTATTCATTGGAAGCTCGGACTCAAGTACCCAGCGTTAACTTGGAAGTTCGCGCAACTTTTGAATTTGATTATCCTAAACACCGAGTATGAAAAAATGACATGTAAAGCATGCAAAGTAGAAACTAATGATGTAGTTAAACATGCTGTCTTAGAATGCCAAGCAGTAATTTCACTTCGAGACAATTTGTTTGAGGGCATCGTGGATATTCTAGATCCCGTTGATTCTGTTGCATTGTTTAATGCTGAAGACAATATTTTGATAGAAGCCTTATTGGGAGGCACAATTGATGTCCTCCAAAATTGTAAGCAAGAAATCTGGGAGCAATACATTTCATATTGTGCAATTAAGATCTCTAATCTTGTCCAGTACCTCACTCAATTTAACTCATAACATGATTGCAATTATGTAATAGAAAACAATACAAGAATATCTGTATGATGTACATATGTTTATATTTTATAATTTTATCGCATCCATGTGTTTTTATTATTTATTTTTATTTGTTTGTTGGTTCACATGTTTCGATGTTTGTTGAATTTATGTAATTTTATTTTGTGAGTTTTATATTTGCACGTTGATTGTACTCTTCTATAAAAGGAGGAATAAAAGGCAATACAATACAATACAATACATTCACATGTGGTAATGGTTGGATGAGAAATCCTTCCATTTGCACAGTGGGTCAACATCGGCTCTGCGCCAAGTTTTAGATATTGCAAAAATCAGTGCAAAAGCTAAGTGCCAATGGAAGTTTCCCTGACTTGAATTATTGTGACTAATTTCTTTTGGAGCTACCTCAGGAGCATCTGTGCTCACAATTCCTCCACCAGATATTGCAAAACCTCGAGAAATAATTGCCCATGGGCTGCTTTTCTCTGCTTTAACCCAAAAATGACTCAGGGCTGAACCATGCATGACATGGACAGATGAGCGCACCTTTATGTGCAATGAAGTGTTGGCAATTTGGAGGGGTTTTAGGATGTATTATTGCAAGAGTATGAGTATGAACACTTTACTGTCTATGCCATACCAGT